AGTGTAAAAATTCACTATGTAATTCATATGCAAACAATAAAACAAAAATCTGAAAAAAAAATGAAAATGTTGGTCAGGTATCCAAATCTGAACACCCACTGTTAATTCTGTTGTTACTGTTATTCATAAAATGGTATTCCAGAAAAAAGTGATTCAACTCACAACTCAAACAACTGCACCAGTGCTCCTGCTTCAAGCTATGGGCATCCTTTGGTATGAAGCTGAACAATATAAAACAGATGAATATTCAGGGGCTAATGTTGTACAGCAGTGGGTTAAGCCGCTGCCTGCAATGCCAGCATCCCACGTGGTTCTAGTCCTGGCTGCTTCAGATCCAGATCCCTGCTAATGCCCCAGGAAAAGCAGTAGAAGATGGTCCAAGTCCTTGGGCCCCGGCACCTGTATGGGAGACCTGGGTGAGGCTCCTGGCTCCTGGTTTTGGTTGGTGCAGCTCCGGCCGTTGCAGCCATCTGGGGAGTAAACCAACAGATGGAAGACTCTCTCTCTCTCTGCCTCTCCTCTCTCTGTGGAACTCTGACTTTCAAATAAAGAAAATAAATCTTAAAAAATGATTATTCAAGGATGCAGATTAATTAAAATTAGTAATTTAACTGCCTCATGAAAGATATTTTAAAATGAAACTAACTCCACTTTTTTAAATGCAACTGCCTACCAGTGATGAACACATGATTACTAATACAGTCTTGTGCCACTGCCATGATTCACTCCTCAATCTTTCACCTTACATTTTTTGCACCATCACTGCAAAGCCAGCACAGTGAAAAAGGCAAATAACAACTCAGTTTTATTATAAAAATAGTTTTGACCTTGTGTACTCTTTGAGTCTTGAGATAACAGCAGTCCTCAAAACACATTTTAAGAATCACAAGACAAACTGATGTTCTTATATGATGTTTTTCAATTCTATAAATTGTATTTGTAGAGTGGGCACTTGCCACTTGGGACACCTGCATCTCATATTGAGTGCCTGGGTTTCAGTCCCAGCGGTGTTCTCCGTTCCAGCTTCCTGTTAAGTGTACCCTGGGATGCATCAAGTAATGGCTCAAGTGCCTGGGTTTGTGCCACATGTGGGAGACTCAAAGTGAGTTCCAGGTTCCTGGCTTCAGTCTGGCTGTTTCAGGCATTTAAGGAATGAACTTGCAGTTTCGGGCAGTCTAGTGGAGGAGATGAATTTAATAACAGAAGTACGGCTTTCAACGTAAGTCACAGGGATTTCAGAGGACATAAAGAATACTTGAGGTCAGAGTAGTTGGGAATGCTTGAATAAGGTAGAAAGCGAGTTAGGACTTAAAGGACAGGTAATTCAAGAGGAAGACATTTGAAAATCAAGGAACAACAGTAATAAAGCTAAGGGCACGGCATGCGTAAAGGTGGAGAAGGAGGAAGGTCAATCAGACAATGTGATTGACAAGATTATGTTAAAGAATAGTAAGAGGGGCCAGCGCTGTGGCATAACGGGTAAAGCCACTGCCTGCAATGCCCGCATCCCATATGGGCGCCAGTTCAGTTCCCAGCTGCTCCACTTCTGATCCAGCTCTCTGTTATGGCCTGCGAAAGCAGTAGAAGGTGGCCCAGGTCCTTGGGCCCCTGCACCCTCGTGGAAGACCCGGAATTAGCTCCTGGCTCCTGGCTTCGGATCAGTGCAGCTCCGGCCGTCATGGTCATCTAGGGAGTAAACCAGTGGGTGGAGGACCTCTCTCTCTCTGCCTCTCTGTAACTCCGCCTTTCAAATAAATGAATAAGTAAATCTTTGAAAAAAATAAAAAGACTAGTAAGAAATTTGTCTAACAGGGTAAAAGGAGAGAAGTACAGAGTTTTAGAAACCAAATAGGGCACTTGCTATAACTTTCTCATGATAGAAGAATATTTGAAAGGCTATGTTTTGCAAGATTAATCTGAACATGAGATAAGAAGGGGAATGGACTTGCAAAAGCACTAAGTATTGAGAGCAGGAGTAGGACAATCTTGAGGCAATGGAATGGAGAGAAGTAAACCGAGATGTAAGACTTAGTGAACTTAGCAGTAGCAGGTGAATAAGAGAGAGGGGCAAGTGAAGGACAACTTAGATATTTAGGATTATAGAGGTGAGAAGTAATAGAGACTGTGGAGTGTACATTGTATGTCAGGTAGCGTAAGAGACACATAACACATCAAATGATCTGAAAGCCCAGGGAGGTAAATATTCATTTTACAGAGAAGGAAACTAGACAAGTGGCAGAAGCAGTCCTGACACAAAGGTTGATTTGACTGTAGAGATAAGAGGCTATATTTATAGTAGTTAAGAGCCCAAAGCCTACAGTTACCTAGCTTTGCTACATAAAAACTGGGAGTCCTGGGGCTGGCACTGTGGTGTAGAAGGTTAAGTCTCTACCTGCAGTGTTAGGATTATATATGGGTGTCAGTTGGAGACCTAGCTGCTCCACTTCTGATCCAGCTCCCTGCTAATGCTCCTGGGGCAGCACTGGAAGATGGCCCACATGGGAGACCCAGAAGAAGCTGCTGGCTCCTGGCTTTGGATGGGCCCAGCTCTGGCAATTTTGGGGTGAATCAGCAGATAAAAGATATCTCTCTTTCTCTCTGTAACTCTTGCCTTTCAAATACATAAATAAATCTTTAAAAAACTGGGAGTTTTGAAAAGTTGCCCATTGTAATTCATAAGCTGTACTTTGGAAATTTATATTTATTAAATAAAAGTTAAAAAAAAAAGTTGCTTAAACTCACCATGCCTCAATTTTCTCACCTAAAATTGCAGACAATAAACTACATCATAGAAAGGTAATAAAGATTAGTTGAGATAATATATGTAGATTAATAGTGAATAGAAAACTAATAATGCATGGAAAATAGAAATCCCTAGGGCCGGAGCTGTGGTGTAGCAGTGCCAGAATCCCATACAGGTGCTAGTTCAAGGCTGGCTGCTCCACTTACAATCTCTCTCTCTCTCCTTCTCTCTCTCTCTTGCTCCCTTCCTCTCTCCCTCCTTCCCTCTCTCTCTCTCTGTGTAACTCTGACTTTCAAATAAATAAATAAATCTTTATTAAAGAGAAAACAGTAATTCCTCAAATTAGCATTTGCCATTATTGTATCAGCAGGAACTGTTGGTGTCATTAACAAAGGAAAGATCCAGCTCTAGAAGAAAAACTACAAAATTTCAAACTAGCTAAGTTGGAGATGACTTCTAAGTAGGTATTTTAGATCAATGAAAATAAAAGTGCAATATAAAAGTGAGACAACAGAAATATCTATAAAAGTCAAATATTCTTGATAAAGTCATGGGACTAGATAAACTAAATTATCTATGGTATCTTTTTCATTTAACAAAACGCAATGATGACAGTATTTCCTAGGCAATGATATTATAAAACTCCCATTTATTCTGTGTAAGATATTATAGGGGTGGGTGTAACAGCACAATGGGTCGCACTCTGCTTGGAATGCTTGCATTCCATCTCAGAGTTCCAGCTGAGTCCAGGCTCCTTTGCTTCTGATCCAGCCTCCTGGCTAATGTGCTGGGAAAACATGAGTATTTGAGTCCCTGTGCACCAACTGAGAGACCTACATGGAGTTCCTGTCTCCTGGCTCTGGCCTGGCCTAGCTCCGACTCTTATGGCCATTTAGGGAGCAAACCAGGAGATGGAAGATCTTTCTCTCTCTCACTCTCTCACATAAATTAAAAAAAAAAAGATACTATGCTAGATGATAGAAATACATAGAAGGCACCTGAAAAGAAGTTGTAGGCAGGTAAAGATATCCAAATAGTAAAATACAAGGAGGTAGTATATAGCAAAGAAGTGATACAATGAAATGATGAAGAACACTCAGGTAAGAAAGATAAAGACAGGAAGTGTGGAAGGAGGTCACTGTTGGCAGAGAGAGCAGCATGGACATGGCAGGCAACACCCATGGCATATTTCGGGGATACTGAAAGGAGCAGCTTGACTGGAACAACAATTTGTAAACTGAAGAAATAAAAACAAGATGGAAAGGTAAGTTGTTTTTTTCTTTAATCAAGTTCTAAAGAGCTCTAATGTATTGGTTTAAGAATTACATTTCGTTCTATAAGCAAAGAAGTATTTCTCTTTACTAATATCGGACTTTCACAATTATATGATCAATTTTGAAAAAAATTAACTTGTTTTGGAAACATCTTTGTTCTAAACTGTTTCTTTCATTTTATAAGCTAGCAAATATCAAATATAACTTCCACGTAATTAGATTCTTATCTAATCAGAAACCTGATTCAGACTAGACAAGGCAAACACCTGTTTTTTCAACTTAAAAGAGCTCATCAGAGCTCAGAACCTTGCCGTCGGCATTCACTATGCCCTGCAATTTTTTTTCATAGCTGACAGTACTTTTTAAAAATATAAATGCTTGGGGCTGGTACTGTGGCGTAGCGGGTAAAGCTGCTGCCTGCAATGCCAGCATCCCATGTGGGCACCAGTTCGAGACTCTGCTGCTCCACTTCCAGTCCAGCTCTCTGCTATGGCCTGGTAAAGCAGTAGAAGATGGCACAAGTCCTTGGGCCCCTGCACCTGCATGGGCAGAACCGGAGGAGGCTTCTGGCTCCTGGCTTCAGATCGGTGCAGCTCTGGCCTTTGCGGCCAATTGGGGAGTGAACCAACAGATAGAAGGCTTCTCTCTCTGTAACTCTGACTTTCAAATAAATAAATCATTAAAAAATATAAATGCTGTAAGTTAAATACTATACAATTATCAGGAATTCATACTATGAAACATACCCAGTATCAACCACAAGAACAGGTGAACCTACCTCACTATAAAACCTTTGACCTAATTTAGTTTTATAAAGAAAATCATACTAAAGAAAACCCAATAAAAAACAGGCATATTCAACTTTAGAAAATTTAATTCTATACAGCACTATAAAACACACACTTACCTCTGTATCTCTTCACGAAGACCACTTTTCATTTTTCCCTTTCACTAGTTTTTATTTGCTTTATAGCAATACTCACCCTAATATCCTGTTCATTCCATGTCTAGCAGCGTAGTGCAGTGGGGTATTGTGCTGGTAGGGCTCCCCGTAAGATGTATTTGGATCAAGGGATTCTTTCAGCTGAGGGTTGTTTTCATATATTTGGCAGGCCAGGTTTTCATCACCACTGATGAGTGCTTTACGGAATTTGGTGGTTGTGTTTCCCATGTTTTGTTTTGTTTTGCTTTTCTGATAGGCAGTGGCACTTCTTCCTTCTTCAGCTACTTCTTGAATGCTTCTGCAACATGTTTCACATTCTAATGGAGAAAAGTTATTCACATTAGTTTTATAAAACAATAATTAACAAGTCATATAAAAAAAATCACAATTTGGAACACTAATAAAATCTAGGAAACACACATGAAAGCTTAAGTTATATTGTATTTTGCAAAATTTATCTTAGCCAAACAAAAAACGCTCAAAATTTTTAACATTGTTCAAATTAACTTCTTGTTAAACTGTAACATTTGCCTACATGGCAACTGTTAAGCTGTCAAGGATTGTACTTTGCACTATAAAAGTTATCTACATACATAAACTTTGCTGTTTTCCTCTTCACATGGGCAGGAAATGAGCCTGAGTTTTATGGTTGAATACACTTAAATTTCTGTATAAATTATGTATAAATTCTAGTAAATTGTTGGGATAGTAAAAAAAAAAAAGAAATTTTGTTCAAATAACCTCACAACAGGCATTAAACTACAATAAAGGAAAGGTGAAATTGCTCACGACTTCAAGGACATCAGAGAAGACATTCAAAATGTAAATATGTGGATTATACAACATAACTGATCCTCATTCCCAGCAAAATAATAACACTGATTACAAACAGTGAAGACTCTACTTGGTCAAGATACTATATTTGTTTCCTCTTTGACAAAGAATACAAAACAAGGCTGAAACATCAAGTGTTTAAGTATTCCTTAGAAAGACACTGGGCCTTTGCTACTGAAGCATGTGAGGCAGACAGGGGAGGTCCCAGAAACTCTGAACTTGGCACTTGAAAATTCTGTATCTGCCTACATTATCTATGTAAGTTCAAGCAACTTATTCACTCTCGGAAAGCCTCAGATTCCCATCTGGATAGCAAGGAAGCTGATTATTTCTTAAAGAATGGCCATGAGGACAGTAAACATTTAAAATATCTAGTATATGTTAAAAAAAATGTAGTTCTCTAAAAAGGCCTCTTTTCCAGTGCTCACACCATCTGAGGCTGGGCTATGCTGGAAGGCTGGAAGCCTGGAGCCGGGAACCCAATTCAGTAACCTCATTATTTGAGTCACAACTGCTAGCTCCTAGCACCTACATTATCAGGAAGCTGAAGTCAGGAGCCAGAGCAGGGAATTGAACACAGGCACTCTGATGTATGGCATGAGCATCTTAACTGGTATCTTAAACACCAGGCTAAATGCCTGCCTATGTATATTATCTACAGCAAAAAATAAGATATCTTGTGAACTCTGAAGGGTCTTTCCTAAGGAAATGGAAACTTCCAGTTTTGGTCTTATCTTCCCTGATTGAATGCAGTTCAAATTACGAACATTTTCAGAGTTCTGAGTTAGATTAATGAGCACATAAATTTTTAGTTACATTGCAGTACTACTTTAGTGTAAAGAAAAATAACTGGTAACCAATATATAAAAGAAGAAATGTTGGGGCTGGCACTGTGGCATAGTGGGTAAAGCCGCCACCTGCAGTGCCGACATCCCATATGGGTACTGGTTTGAGACCTGGCTGATTCACTTCTGATCCAGCTCTCTGCTATGGTCTGGGAAAGCAGTGGAAGACGGCCCAAGAACTTGGGTCCTTGCGCCCACATGGGAGACCAGGAAGCAGATCCTGGCTCCTGGCTTTGGATTGGCCCAGCTCCACACATTGTGGCCATTTGGGGAGTGAACCAACAGATGGAAGATCTCTCTCTGCCTCTGCCTCTCTGTAACTCTGCCTTTCAAATAAATAAATCTTAAAAAAAAAGAGAGAGAGAGAAGAAATGTCTAAGAAAGTGATGGTATCACAGTAACAAGATACTGCTTTAAAAAAATCAATACTACTCTAAATGTGCATTAAATATTGCTTTCACTCATGTTGAAAAGCGTAAGAGCATTCAGAAGCCTTTTTGTGGCTTTCAGTTATTTTAAAGTCTGTTTCTCTTTAAAAATTGGATCAATAAGGCCTGAAAGCCTTCAGGAAACGCATCATTACAACACCAAGGCTCTATTCCCCTCAGATTCATCCTCACAAGTCTTGCCTAGAAATGTGCCAGATGGGTCCTTTCATGTTTTCATAGCCACAGCTACTGATGCCTGAAGTGACTGCTTCCTCCCTGAATCAAAATCCTAGGGAGTACTTGTTCATGCAATATATATTACATTTGTATTATTAATCTATATCATATAGGCATGTAATACTGGGTTTATATTTCATTTCTTTGTGTGTGTGGGTACTTCTTATAGATGGTATCTTGGGGTAGGCATTTGGTAGGGAGAGTAAGATGCTACTTGTGTGTGCCTGGGTTCAAGTTTTGGTTCTGCTTCTGATTCCAGCTTCCTGCTAATGTGTACCCTGGGAAGTGGCAGGTGATGGCTCAAGTATTTGGGTGCCTATCACTCATGGGGGAGATTTGGACTGAGTTTCTGGGTCCTGGCTTTGGTCTGGTACAGCCCTGGCTGTTGTGGGCATTTGGAGAGTAAACCAGTGGATGGGAAATCTCTTTGAGTTTCTCTGCCATTGAAATAAGTAAAAACGAGTAAATATAAATGGTACCTAAAAAAAAAAAAAATCAGACTTCAAGAGTTCATTTGCAGTATAGAGAAATACAATTAAATTTAGATTGACCTTGTGCTCTGCAAATTTGCTAAATTTCACTTATTAATTTTAGAAGTTTTTCTTTTCTCTTTTACAGATTCTGGGGGATTGTATACAGTAAACTCAAATTATCCGTAAATACAGGCAGTTTTAACAATTTTTGCTTAATTATTTATTTATTTATCTATTGATTTATTTATTTAAGAAGAAGCAGAAGGAAAATGAGTGCTCCCATTTGCTGATTTACTTCACAAATGCCCACAACAGCCAGGGCTGTCCCAGGCTGCAGCCTGGAGCTGGGAACTCCATTCTGCTCTCCTACATCGGTGGCAGGGGCCCAAGCACTTGAGCCATCACCTGCTGCCTCTGGGGTTGTACACTAGCAGGAAGCTGGAACAAGGTGTGATGTTGAACTTGAACCCAGGTACTCCAATACGGGGTGCAGGCATCCCAAGTGGCATCTTCACCACAAAGCCCAATGCTCTCCATTGCATGCTTCTTACTTCTTTTTCTTGCCTTACTGCATTAACTGGATGAATTTTAAAATTAGTGTGCAAAAGATTGAAGAGAAACAAGATATTTGCACAGACTCAAGGCTTTTCCCCTAAAATAGTTAATAATTATAAAGTAAAAAAATAGCAATTTTACTATGGGTGACAATATCTTAACCAGGTAATCAAAAGGTTAATACCATTGTAACATATGAAGGTTCTTCCAAAAGTTCATGGGAAATACACGTTATAAAATTATATATGGATTTCAAATATTTTTGCACCAAAATAAACTTATCTTTTAATTCCACTTTTTCACAAACTTTTTGACATAGTAACATCAATTATCACAACTTGATGCACTAAAAAAGGTACGTAAGGCATTCTCCTGAAAATTTACACATCTTTAAATATGACTATCTCAATTAATACCAGAAAATATCAGAAAGTCAAATTGAGAGACATACAGAATCACTGGCCAGTCCTCTGTGCAAGCAGTAGGCCATGAAAGGCAAGCAAAGATTGCACAAGTGGCCACTGATTAGCAAAGAGTAAGGCAACATGACAACCAAATGCCCAGTGGAATTCAGACTAAATTCCAGGGAGGAAAAGTGACATGAATGGAAAACTAGTGAATTTCATTCAAATATACCCGGTACAGTTGTCCCTTAGTATCACCTGGGGATTGGTGCCAGGACCCCTGAGAATACCAAAATCCACAGATGCTTGAGTCCCTTATATAAAATGGTATAATATTTTCATATAATTTATGTACATCCTAAATAATCTCTAGCATACTTATATCTAATGTAATGTAAACAGTTGCTATATTGTTTTTGTTAAGAAATAAATACCAGGAAAAAAGGGGTCTATATATGTTTAGCATGGATACAATCTTTTTAAAAAATATTTTTGGGGGCTGGCACTGTGGTGTAGCAGGTAAAGCCACCACCTGCAGTGCCGGCACCCCATATGGGTGCCGGTTTGTGTCCCAGCTGCTCCACTTCCAGTCCAGCTCTCTGCTATGGCCTGGGAAAGCAGTAGAAGATGGTCCAAGTCCTTAGGCCCCTGTACTCGCATGGGAGACCCAGAAGAAGCTCCTGGCCCCTGGCTTCGGACTGCTGCAGCTCCAGCCATTGCAGCCAATTGGGGAGTGAACCAGTGGATGGAAGACCTCTGTCTTTCTCTCTGCCTCTCCTCTCTCTGTGTAACTCTGACTTTCAAATAAATAAATCTTTATAAAAAATATTTTTGAACTTCAGCTGTTGAATTCAGGAAATGCAAAAATCCATGGATACACAGAGGAAACTATAGTCAACAACACTGTACCAATGTTAACTTCTTACTTCTCATAATTAAACTATGGTTTATAGACGATGATAACGACAGGGGAAATTGGGTGAGGGAAGACAAGAACCCTCTGTACCATTTCCCCAACTTTTCTAGAGATCAAGAAACTCAACAACAAAACAAACAACCCAGCTAAGAAATACACAAAGGACATAAACAGATATTTTTCTTTCTTTTTTCTTTTTTTGTTTTTTGACAGGCAGAGTTAGACAGTGAGAGAGAGAGACAGAGAGAAAGGTCTTCCTTTTCCATTGGTTCACCCCCGAATGGTCGCTGCGGCTGGCGCACCGCACTGATCCGATGGCAGGAGCCAGGTGCTTCTCCTGATCTCCCATGGGGTGCAGGGCCCAAGCACTTGGGCCATCCTCCACTGCACTCCCTGGCCACAGCAAAGAGCTGGCCTGGAAGAGGGGCAACTGGGACAGAATCCGGCGCCCGAACCCGGTGTGCCGGTGCCGCAGGTGGAGGATTAGCCTATTGAGCCGTGGCGCCGGCCAATAAACAGGCATTTTTCAAATGATGAAATACAACTGACCAAAAGACACATGAAAAAATGCTCAGGATCACCAGCTATCAGGGAAATGCAAATCAAAACCACAATGAAGTTTTACCTCATCCTAGTTAGAATGACTCTCATACAGAAATCAATAAACAACAAATGCTGGCAAAGATGTGGGAAAAAGTATACCTTAATACACTGTTGGTGGGAAGGTAAACTAGTACAGCCACTGTGGAAAACAGTATGTAGACTCCTCAGAAATCTGAAAACAGATCTACTGTATCACTCAGCCACCCCACTTCTGAAAATTTACCCAAAGGAAATGAAATCTGCATATTAAAGAGTTAACTGCTTTCCCATGTTTGTAGCAGCTTAATTCACAATTGCTAAGACATGGAATCAACACAGATGTCCATTAACTGATGACTGGATAAAGAAAATGTGCTATGCATATATACATGGAATAATACTCAGCCACAGAAAATAATGAAATCCTATATCCTACAACAAAATAGATGCAACTGGAAACCATGTTTAGTGAAGTAAGCCAATGCCAAAAAGACAGATATCATGTCTTCTTTGATACGTGGCAGTTAATACAGAATACAAAAAAGGTATAAGAATGAAAGCAGTATCTTATGATCTGATTGTTATTTATAGCCCTCGTGTACATTCCTGTGAAACAGTGGTCTTTCTACTTTTTACTTGTTCAACATTATGCTTAGTAGTGCATTAAGCCTGTGATTATAAAATAAATTGAAATTATGTTATTGCAAAAATTGAAAAAAAAAAGAAGGCCCAGTGCTGTGATATAGTAGGCTAAGCCTCCACCTGCAATGCTGGCATCCCATGTGGGCACCGGTTCATGTTTCAGCTGCTCCTCTTTCAATCCAGCTCTCTGCTATAGACTGGGAAAGCAGTAGAAGATGGCCCAAGTGCTTGGGCTCCTGCACCCATGAAGGAGACCTGGAAGAAGCTCCTGGCTCTTGGTTTTGGATCAGTGTAGCCCTGGCCATTGCACCCATTTGGGAGTGAACCAGCATATGTGTCGCTCCCCCTCTTCGTGGAGGAACGACACAGGACCCTGCGCTGTTCTTTCGTCTGCTCGGCCCTCCCCGGGTTTGCTGCTGGTTCTTCCCGGGTTGGCTGCTGTCCCTTCCACCTCCGTGGAAGGGCGGTTCCCCCTGGCCACTTTCCCCACTTCCGCAGGGGAGCGGCACACCGCCGGCCGGCTCTCTCGGGGGCTGCACAGATGTTCCCTTAGATGTTCCCCTTAGATGTTCCTGGTGCATGCCGTCTCTCTCCTCCTATATAGTCCTCTTCTACCAATCCCAACTCGGCTGCCCACACGCCGAGCACACTGCTCTCCTCCAATCAGGAGCAAGTCCTACAGTTTATTGGCTGAACTGGAGGCAGCTGTGTAGAAGCTGTTTTCTTCTCTCCCAGCGCCATATTGTGGGAGAGCAGATGCATAGAATAAGTCTTAATTCCAGTAACAGTATAGTCCGAGTTGCTCCCCACACATATGGAAGACCTCTTCATCTCTATAACTCTACCTCTCAAATAAATAAATAAATCTTTTAAAAGAAAGTTCTGAGGAATCTTTTATCTGAGGAATCTTATATCCCATCCATAAGGCTATATATCTCTGATTCCATAAAATACAACCCTTAATCTTTTTTTTTTTTTTTTTTTTTTGACAGGCAGAGTGGACAGTGAGAGAGAGAGACAAAGAGAAAGGTCTTCCTTTTCCATTGGTTCACCCCCAAATGGTCGCTGCGGCCGGTACGCTGCGCTGATCTGAAGCCAGGAGCCAGGTGCCTCTCCCGGTCTCCCATGCGGGTGCAGGGCCCAAGCACTTGAGCCATCCTCCACTACACTCCCAGGTCACAGCAGAGAGCTGGCCTGGAAGAGGGGCAACCGGGACAGAATCCAGCGCCCCGACCGGAACTAGAAGCCGGTGTGCCGGCACCACAGGTGGATGATCAGCCTATTGAGCCGCAGTGCCAGCCACAACCCTTAATCTTAATTCTATTACTATCATGGATTTTAAAAATTTAAGCTGGGGCTGGTGCTGTGGAGTAGCAGGTAAAGCCACCACCTGCAGTACTGGCATCCTATATGGGTGCTGGTTCGAATCCCAGCTGCTCCACTTCCAATCCAGCTCTCTGCTATGACCTGGGAAAACAGTAGAGGATGGCCCAAGTCCTTGGACCTCTGCACCCGTGTGGGAGACCAGAAGATGCTGCTGGCTTCTCACTTTGGATGAGCGCAGCTCCAGCCGTGGCAGTCAATTGGGGAGTGAGCCAGAGGATGGAAGATCTCTTTTTCTCTTTGCCTCTCCTTCTCTCTGTGTAACTCTCACTTTCAAATAAATAAATAAATCTTTTAAAAAAATTTAAGCTATATGTTATAAGCAAAAAATAATCTGCTTTAGTGCAAATGCTAATTAACGCAACTGGAGGAACAATTTAAATCTCACAAATATGCAACTGAAATGTTAGTCACCAAAAACAAAACAAAGAACAAGAATGTAATTTATACTTACATTCACAAGAAAGCTGAAATTCTTGTAAGTATTGATTTTTAAATGTGAGTTATAATACATAAAGTCACAGGCATACAAAAGACTACATTTAAATCATCCCAGCCTGTCTTTCCAAATTTAACACTAAAAGGTTTTAAACATTCAGGGCTTATCGTTAGTATTCTGCTTTCCTTATTAGATTATGGGGAATTTATTTCATTGTTCTTGCCCAAGTCTTATGTCTCACTAAGAATGAAACTCGCAGTACCTCTAAGCAAGGTAAGGTTTAGTGCAGGGGTCAGTAAACTTTTTCTGTAAAGGGCCAGAAAGATAGGCAAAGTGGCTTTGTGAACCAGACAAGGGCACTTGAAGAAGTTCATAGAACATCCATATCCTGAAAAAACTATGCATGGATTTCAAAATTTTTTGCACCAAAGTTAACTTACCTTTAATTCTACTTTTACATGAAATTTCTGAAGTATTCTTGTGTGCTCTCTGAAGCAACAACTCTACTGTGCTGTTGTAGCTGGAAAGAGACAGCACCTAAAAGACCAAACATGGCTGTGTTCCAATACAATGTCATTTACAGAAATAGGCAGGGGGATCTGGCCCATGGGACAGTGTTTGCCAACCCTTGGTTTTGTAGAAGGGTAGCAGAGTAGAACAACTTGGGCTAGAATTCTACATCTCCTTCTCCTTATATTACACATCACTTAAGCTTTCTGCACCTCAATTTTCTCATCTGTAAAACAGGGGAAGGCTATCAACTGTTCAGGATTATCATGATTACATAGGAAATACACGTATTACAGTGCCCAGCACATAGTAGGTACTCAACAATTTGTCCTTCTCCTACTAAGAGCCACAAGCATTTGGTAAAGGGTTGGTCACTGACTTCCAGAACACTCATAATTCATTCCTTTTACAAGACAGCAAGACCTTAAGAAAACGCCATCATCTGCATGTTTTATAGCAAGAATGCTTCATAATTGGTAGCCTAGACTTTACCATTTATTAAGTTCTGACCTTTGGCAAATTAAAAACTGGTATTTTCAACTCTATTTTAAACAAAGAATAATCCCATTTTCATTACTTTTCTAGGTAACTGCCAATATTATCAAAGGTCTTGCCTATGTAACTATGCTTACAAATACTAAAGGAAAGGGGCACAGAATTGGTTAAGTACAAAGCAAGGAGTAGGAGACAGATCTCACACTGGTAGTATATGCCACACACACACACACACCCCCTCTGGCAGTGAGCAAAGAGACTAAGGTCTGAAATGTTGCTAAAAATGAAACCTGGTTTAAGATACTTGGAGTCCAGCCTGCCAAACTACATAATACATTGGAGGCAATCGTGGCTCTGCTCTTGGTGGCTTCCTGGAAGTTCTTGAATACCCACGGCGAACAGAAAGGCTTCTGAGAATTACAGGGTTCTGTGACAATGAC